GCACATGTTCTCTCTCCCTCTCTCTCTCTCTCTCTCATCGAACTTCCGGCGTATTCGTTCGAGGTTACGTCTCTCGATGAAAATTGATTCCGAACATCGAGCGTTTTTGTCTCCGATAGACGTTTTATTATGTTCCAAATTAACTTTCCAAGCGACGTCTCCGAAGTTTTCCAAAGAGCTCGGCGAGATATCGAACTAGTGATTATAATAATGTGACAAATAGAAAAGATAAGGTAACAGGAGAGGGGGGAGAGGGAGGATCATTATTTCCTCGGATAATGACGGATTTTAACGCCAACGGCAGTTCGTTTTCCTCCCTGCCTCGCAGCTTAATTGGGTCGATATAAATTACCTTGGACGCTCCGAGAAGAATCTGCCGATCATGGTTCTTAGCTCGGGAGCATCTGGATATCACGCACAGTTACTTTAATTAAGGATGAATGAGTCGACTGTAGGTAAACCGTCTATTCCGAGTACCGTAGAGAGTGATTGACGCATGCCTCGAAAATTATCGGCGAGGCCTGTTTCCGCTTCATTTCCGCCGCTTCCCCGACACATTAGCGTCTAATTGGACACTCCTCCGCCGTTCTTTAAATTGCACGTTATATCACGTTAACGCCTCCTCCTCATGACGGAAGCGAAATTACGTTTCGCACAAATAAAATTTTTTTTCCAAATCTCCATTATGCGGATAAAAAAAAAAAAAAGAAAACATTACCATTAAAACTCGCGTAACATTTGCGCGTAACGTAAATATTACATTATCTCTCTCGTAAAAACGTATATAAAAAATATAGTTAATAAAATCGCTTCGGATTCGGTTTTTTAAATTATTATTTATTTTGTATTTTATATATGAAATTGTTTTTGTAAATTTTAACGTTTACATTTTTCTGTACAAGCGATGCGCGGAGAGAGATAGAGAGAGAGAGAGAGAGAGAGAGAGAAAGTCGCTCGTTTCCTCCACTTGGCAGAGATTTCGCATTCAGTCAATCGCGGTGAATCGCAAAGCGTTAAATATACATCCGCGCGGTAAAGTATGCAGAAGTGTTTTTACGAAAAGACGCTTCCCACATCGGAGGATAAACATCCCTACTTGAAACTTTGTACCGCCGCTACCTGCCCGAGAAGATCGGTATTTCCGTAAGGTTTTCCAGCTCCGTTCTACGCCGGTGATGCGCGGAAATCCATCCGCGGCGGAGACGGAGAATAAAAATTTGAATCTCTCACACGGAAGTCGAGAAGCGAGTTAATTTGTCACTCTCCTCTCTCTCTCGTACGTGATTTTTTCTTCTCCTAAGGATCCCAACGTCTTCCTCATTATCCTCAAAATAAACGACCGTTAACAGAGAGGGAAACGTTGGTTGAGACCCGAAGAAGTGAGACGAACGCGCGCGGATTGTAATCGTAGAAACGGTACTTCTCTCGCTTCGGTATACCGAAGAAACGAGGAAGCGAAACGCGATACCTAAATAAATGCGTTTACAAAGGTGTTGATTTTAGAGAAAGCAACATTTTGCCGCGCGGATGATTATTTCCGAGAACCGCGGATATATAATAAATTCCCGACTCTTATTCCCTGGTTTTTTTTGAGCAAAAATTCACCGCAGTAAAACACATCGCGCCTCGAAATAATCGATCATGCAAGTTCGATTTTCCAACTTCTAGTTGTAATTCGATGCATTAATTATTCAAACACGATCCTCGCGCGGCGCGCCGTTCCTCCGTGTTCTCTCGCACCGCCAAACTTTTTAATTCGCGAAAATGAACGAGACTGTGTTCCATCAATGTCGCGTAACGGGAATGTTTGCGAACGAACCTCTCGCCAGGGATGCACGCTCGTAATAAAAACGCAGCAACCCTGAGACCTGTTTGTAAAACATCCGGTGTGTTGTGCGTGCAGAGTAGCCAAGGGAAATTTTTCGGCGGTCCCAGATGCGACTGGCCAATCGAACTTTAACATCGTTTGCAAGAGCTTTCTCTCTTTTTCTTTCCTTCTCTATTCTCTCTCTCTCTTTCTCTCTTTCTCTCGGTCGCCCGAGCTGGCACGTTCTCACGTTCCATTGCAAAACTGTCGAAACTGTCGAATCGCGGACAAAGGGTGTATAATACAAAAGTTACAAACGGAGAGAGAGAGAGAGAGAGAAGGAACAAAATAGAGAGAGAAAGAGAGGAATGTGGCGCGAGCGCGCGAGCACGCCGCGATATGAGTACCGATGCAAGTTCTTGAAGCGTATAATATTCCACGTGCGAGTTGTCACTTCGTGACCGCATTTCAGTGACTAATGAGCGCTTTCGAAAGCACGTTAGGTACTGTCAGATACACGACTGCAGTGCAATGCCGCGGTCGAGTCTGTGAGAGAGGATTGTGATATATATAGGTTGTACGTATATGTGCCGGGACGCGTGTATATGTGAGCGCGCGCGTGCTCATGGATGTTGGTACGTACGTGTGTATGTGCGCGCGCGTGCTGTTGTACATGCAGAGACGACGGCGGGAGCGAAAACCGGGATTAGGGTGTGGTGAACGAGCCACTTGTCTCGAGTGAAAAGTAACAGAGTGCAAAAAGTAGGTCGAAATGATCGATTCATGAATCATTGACAACTACGCGGATATTAAAGCTCCAAGCGCGCGATTCCAAGTTTTGCGATATGTGAGAGACAGAAAGAAAAAGAGAGAGAGAAAGAGAGAGAGAGAGAGAGAGACAGAGAGAGAGAGAATTATAGATGTGTGAGACACACTTGCATCCATAATAGTATTATGAAAAAATATTTATTTTATCATTCTTGTGCAAATAAGTGGAAAAGAATTTGTTGTAAAATTGGAGTTTGCTTTGCAGAAGTTATTTGGATTATATATTCAAAAAACAAGCCATATTTGTACAAAATACAAGAGAGAAACGTTTAATATATATTTACACATGTGAACAATTTGTATCTATACATATACATATAGATACGTTTCTGCTAAGATTGTTGCACAGAGAAAGAGACAATACGGTAGGCTTATAAATGGAGTCAAAATAAGATCTAAAGGATACGGTATTAAAATCATTACAATATTTGGACGCAATCGATTCCCTGCTCGAGATGCGAGCTGCTATATAATAATTATTACCGCAGTGACGAAAAAACGACCATTGGTTGGTTTGTATGCGTGAGACACAGCGAAACGTTATTGTACAAAATGTTACTCTGGAACACTTTTTATTCGAGAACTAGATACTTTTCGGTTAAAAAAAAAAATTATCTTTTTTTAAAATAACATGATTAAAAAATAAAATTAGTAAACGCGATATTAAAGACATGCTAACCAATGATCAGTTCTTCTCGTGTAATAAGTGAAAGTTAGTCGTTTTCAACAACTCACGTAAAGAAAAAAGTATTACAATAATTAATTCGCTTCCGTATGCGTATATCAATTAATTATGATTCACAATATGATTCACAAAACGGTGTGTACAAAATTATATATTAAAACTATGTTTTAGATACTATATGTGTTTTGATACAGATACATATAGAATAAATACATTAAACAGCGATCAAAGAGCTCCGTACAAAAAAAAAAAAAATAAGCGCAAAATCAGCACTTGCGAAATAGAGAAATCTATGTAATAATAAATCGTACAAAATCAAGCGAGTGCATGTTACGCGCTAGATTGCAGACAGACGTAATAAATATATATATGAGCACGATATAATAATTAAAACATACGATTGTCAAAAGTGCTAAAAGTGCTTATAACACTTAGCAAATTATCGTGTGTGGTTGTATAAAAATACGATGTTTCACGAGTTCGGATTACAGTATCGCGCACTGGGTGGAGCTCGTTCGATCAGATACTTATACGTATATAATCATCTTGCTATACACGCTGATAGCCTACTTTGTGTTAAAAAAATTTTATGTAAATAGTTTTAATGAGCCAATCATGCATTATTACTTATGATATACAGACAATATTATGTCTGTAAAAATCACTATCACTTCCGATTGGCGCGTACATAATATCCCTATCGTTAATTATGCAAATCATACATATAACGCAATCAGTTAGTTATCATTATCATTATTGTGCTTGCGGTAATTCGTATATTCTAGTTTTCATCCTGTCAGACTTGTATATGAATTTCACGTCGGAGAATCCGACGACGAAGTGAATTTTACGGTGATGAAACCGTAAGATTGTGAAGCGAAATGTTCCGGCAGAATTAATTTTGCACCCAAAACAAAAACAACAATTGGTATCTTCTTGTGTATATACAGTCAAAAAAATGATTATATTAATAAATGAGTAAAGCTACTATTCAAAATGTAAGAAACAAATTTATTTCTTGATAATATCGCAATTAATTATATATATATATATACTGCGAATGTGATCTCATCTCTTAAATATATTTTTATCTTGCGTTTTACACAGCAATTGTTTTCATCTGTTTATCTCATTGCATTCCGAAAAATATCATTATCTGTGTATCTATCAAAGTGTAATTGACGATTTTGTTACAAAAACAAAGAAGAGAAAGAAAACAATAATAAAGACAATGTTATATTCACCGAGTTAGTATATCGAAGCCACGTAATCGTCCGTAGAACCCCATAAATATAAATCTCCGCGACAGCGAACCTGATTCGTACGGACGATTGACACGCGACTCCGCTTTTACAGTTAGCAAAGAAAGAGCGTACAATCTAGCGAAATCCCTTGAAATACCGGTATAAACTACGATAATCTCTTAAATTTCCTCGTCGGGTAGACGGCGCGGCGCGGCCGGCTTGCGAAGGTACTATTCTAAAGAGGGGGAAATCTTTACAACCTGGGAGTAACAATAAGTGCAGTTTTATGTACAACAGTCCGTCCCTGCCGCTTCTCTGAAATTTGTTCGGCGCGCGGTGTCCGTGCGCTTTACAAAGACGCCTCTCGACATCTCTTACATGGTTTTACAGCCCCGTGTGCGGTCGAACCGACCGATGATTTTGATTATTCTTCCACCGTGAATTCTCCTCTCGCTGGATTGCCGCCGAGTGGAATCGCGTCCTCTTCTTATTTTTTTTCACGACTCGCGCGGCGGCCAGAGTAGACAAAACGCCGCGAGATGATCTTTTATGCGTGAAATAACAGTCGTCTGTCACGGGATCACTCCTGTCAAACGTGGTCGCCCCAAACCGTCACCGTCTTGGCGCGATCGACGGACGCCAGATACGTGCCGTGCGGATGCCAGGACACGGCAGTCACCGCCGCTCTGCGAACATTCAAACATAAAAAACACTTTTTAGTAGACATGAGACTCTTATATGAAGAAATTACAAAATTCGCGTCATTTTTGAACATTTATATGTGAATAATGAAATTTTGCTTCACAATTGCGCGCATATACGTAGCAGAGAAATTAATGTAAATAGTGGTAGTGTAATTTTCAATAATGTTCATCGAATATTTTGTTCTGATAAATAGTTCATCGAAGTATTCATCAAAGTAGCGATACGTTAGAAAAGTTAAGCTTCTCGATGCTTGCACGTGTATAAGAGCTATCGCGTTATTTCGAAAACTTTGATTGAAGAAAAAGGAAATTAAAACCGCTTGCGCGTTTAATACAAACGATATCGAGTAGACGAGATAAACGAAAAGGAATTTATCTATCTGGAAACATGAAAGCTCGCGCTCCAGTAAAGTTATTCGAATAAAAAGGGAAAACATTTCACTTTGACAATTTGCAATATGTATTTTCGTGGTTTAATAAAAAAAAACTCGTTATTTATATTGATTTATGTAAAATTATTGCTAAATTTAGACAAATAAAAACGCGGATCAGTGACCAAGTTTTTTCGAAATATATGTTGCCACAAGGGAGGCAAATTCGTTGTGGCCACCGACTAACGGTCGCGAAAACCAGCGCACCCACATAGGTCGCACTCAAATATGTACGTCGCGTATTCTCAAGTCGAAGCAAATTTGCATAATGGATGTCTGACCGGCGCTATTTCACGCAAACGGTAACATTTATCTCGTTTTCATTCCTTTCTCAAAAATATCTTCAAAGATTCTATTTAAATATTTTAGTTTTGTAAATTCTCGCCTTGACATTTGTCAAATCATTTTTTTTTGTTTTTTTTGTTTTTAACCCTCGGAGAACACACTGGGTCAATTTGACTCTGTTCGTCGACTTTGATCAAAATATTTTGCTTCAATTTTGCTTTTTTGTAACATATTTTTTACAATGTTAATAATGTTAACGACACTTAAAAACTATATAGGCATATTCCAAACTGTTCAAAATATATCCGAAAATTTTTTCAAGCCAATCGGATAAGTGCATTTTAAATGGTAGCATCTCAAAAAGTGGACGGGGTCAAATTGACCCAGATTGTTCTTCTTGATTGAAAAAATATAGGTGTGTTCCCCGAGGGTTAATTTTGATCGCAGTTTATAAATATATTTAAGTGCAGGAATATATATTCATGAAAAATAAAGATGCTGTTTTCACGAGAAATATTTGCCTTTATGTCTGAGTCGTTGATATAACGGTAAATGTGGCGCGATTGTGACAATTCATTTGCCGCGCGACGAGAACACACGTAAATTGACGCGGTAAATGGAAAGCTTGATTAGCATGACCGAGCGTTATTGACTTCCGGTAACGCGGAGACAGACAACGAGACCTGGAGAAAAGGAAACGAAAAAAAACTGTAAGCCGGTGGTCCGATTTACCAGAGCGGATTTGCGTATTCGAGAAACAGGGGAACGCATAGAATAGAGCGCGCTTTAAACAACTACATCCAAAAGCTTTCAGAAGTAGCTTTTTCCATTTTCATCTTCCGACTTCTGTCTGGTGAATCTAATTTCCTTACGGCGTGCCGGAATTATTCCGCCGCCGCCGCCGCCGTCGTATGCGCGCGTAAAGGTCTTCCAATTATCTCGCTATCCTATCCGGAAATGCTTCGTATACGGCAAAAAAAAAAAAAAAGGTAAACGGGAAAACGCTCGGAAATGTTACGTGTCGCGCGCGACAAACTCTCGACTTTATGCAATTTAATTCCGCGCTTTTTTTCCAAACTGCGCGAAAACGAAACAAAAAGTGAGAATTTATCGTGAGATCACAGCGAGCGCTTAAAAACACGTCAAATATAAATACGATTCACGCGGAAGGTCGAGACATACACACACGCGTATGGAGAAAAATCCGCGCGATCGCTTAAATCGTTTCGTTAAAGATTCCATTTGAGCGCGGCGAAACACAGTGCCGCGTAATTTTCTGTCCGAGCGAGTCCGCTCGTGCAGCAAAAGGTCTATAAAACCTGAATTCCCGCGGGTGATTCGCAGGGCTTGGCGAAATCGTAAAAGGGTGTTTCTATGCAAGGACAAACGTGCTGAAAATGGCGAGCTCTTTCATCCCCTGCTTGTCGCGCTCTACCCTCGCCCCCCAACGGCAATGCCGTTAAGGAATCCATGACAAACGCGGAGCGAAACCGGGTGAATGTTTTTTTGCGAGGGCGCAGGTCACCGCTGCACACGGAAGTTTGAATGTGAGTGCTTTCGAGAAGGCGCTATAAAACTATGATCGCGTTTTTTTTTTTTTTATGAGCATCCGCGTAAGCGAAAAGAAGAGAACGAGTTGGATTGTTAAAAATACTATACGAGCAGTCTTTTACGACGTGCTTACGACACGTGATTCGTAGTATTTTGTGTTACTCATCTATAAATTACGGTTGGGATGTAGTTTTCGCCGATTAAGTATATCTCGGCCCCAGAGAGAAGGAAGATTTTCAAATGAATCGCAGCGGAATAAACCTCGGGAAATTTCACACTTTGTATTTTACAAAAGTGAGCGAAATTCTAAGTTGGTATTTCGTTTTATGTTAACGAATGTAAAAGGTAGGGGAATTTTAAGCGAAAGCAGCTCGCAAATTGGATTTACCGGCTGAATCGCGTCATTCGGTGCAGCGCGCGCGCTAAAGGGGGATGATATACAGCGTAACACGGGCAGGCTCTAAAAAAAAGGGCATATCGTTCCGTCACGGTTTGACTGGCGCGTTTACCCTCGCGCGAAGTTTGTTGCCGTCGAGAAGCGGACGTATATATCCGCGTTGAAACAACAACGTTGGGGCAAGAAAAAGGTCCACGAGTGTTTGTCGCGACGACCGCCCGTCGTGCGCGCCGTCGGCGACGTCGTTGTCGTCGTCGTCGTCGTCGTCGTCGGCGGCGGCGGTGGCGGTGGCGGCGGCGTCGTCGCTTAGCGGGAACGATATTTCTAAAAGCAGCGTGCTTCGTATCCGGGATACCTTTGCTAGAAGCGGCAGCTACCTTCGTGGTGTATATTGCGAGCGTGATAAAGGAGACCTATCCGTTCTTGCCGAAGGAGCGTGGAAATAAGCTTTGGCGAACGATGTTTCCACTCTTTCTCCTTCCCGTCGCCCCCTCGGCATCTCTCCCCTGCCATTTCTCGTTTCCGCCCACCCATTTTTTTCATCTAGCCGCAAAGCTAACCCGCGGGAGACGGAGAAAGAAAAGAAGCGAGAGAAAGAGGATAAAAGAGAGAAGGATTTTACAGATGAAAGAGAGAGAGAGAGAGAGAGAGAGAGAGAGAGAATTTAAGAGCATGAGAAAGTGGATGGACTGCACGCATGATGGCAAAAGATAGACGCACGAGCCTTTGAAACGTACGCCGCCGCATTTTCGTTCGTCGTTCTTGCAAATGACAGAGTTAACATATAAACGCCGGTAAAGCCCCGGTACTTTGTCGACGGCGCGGGGAGGATATATGCGCGAGAGCGGTAGAGAAGAGATCAGAAAGGATAGGAAGAGTGAAAACGTTCCGAGAGAAGAGCCGAAGAGAAAGAGAGAGAGAGAGAGAGCGCGAGAGAGAAAATGGGCAGAGAAGTGAAGAGAAATGAGAGAAAGAGAAAGACGGCTGTGTATTTTAGATTTTAACCCGGAGCGATGGATTATGCGAAGCGTAAGAATACCGAGAGGGAGGAAGAAAAGAGGCGGGGAAAATACCACTTAACGAAAGAAAAGCGGCGAAGATAGGAATGCGCGCGGCCTTCGCCGCGCCGTAAGAAACGCAGCTCGTTTGTTGTCGTGCAGGTGCACAAGGGATAATTAAAATAATTATCCTTCATTGTGGATGCATAACGTCGTGTCGGTGGTAATTAGATCGCGGCGACTCGCCGATAATGAAATTGGATTTGAGAGAGATCTCGCTCTTGCGTGGCGAATTGAGCGCATTCGTGAGAGCAAACTCTTCGTTATACGCGAAGAGAACAAGAAAAGAGGCGCGAAAAGAGCACCGACGCGCTTTAAAATATCGTTCGATATCGCTTTGATAGAGAAAAGAGTATCACTGTCGCATTAATCGAATAAAAAGTGACGCAATTAATATTACCTTCAATTATTTACAATATATCGAAATGTAATATCAAATAATGCAATTTTTTTTGTATTGTAAAATTTTAAATTATTGTCAAAACGACGTTACAAGTACTGTACAATTGATTAAATTCTCGCAGAGCTAAGTTAATTGTAAATATGCGTTTAAACATCATTAGTAAAAGAAAAACAAATAGTATCGAGCCAATATCTCAAATAAACCCGTTTGACACTTACGCAACGTACAAAATATATAACGAGACACTTGTTAGAATCGATATGGTCGTGAACGTACGATCGTTGGCAGCTTGATAGGTCGATGTACCTTTTGGATAATGTATTCTTTATCACGCCCTTCGCATATACTTCATAATATGTTTATGTAAAATGATGAGTGCCACCTGTTGACACAGCGGCGACGCAGACTTGAAGCGCGCGAATAAATTCAGCGTGGGAACAACAAAATGGGGATCTTAACGCGCGTAACGCGGAATATAATAATCCGCATGAGAATATATATATATATATATATATATATATATATGTACACAGCAGGCATACACGAAGGACTGCGTTGTTGTTTGAGGGATGAAACACGATGCAACGGGGAATTCCGCTCCACGCGTTAATCCATCACTTACGAACTCGCGGTCGGCAAAAATGCGAGTCCGCGCGACTGTGAGACGAGATAATTTTGTTTAGCGTGTGAAAACATAAGTCTCGCGCGCGCAAAAACAAATATTAAGTATAATTTTTTTTTTTTTTTTTAATGAAAATGCGTCGAGCTCTTAATTTTAACTCGGCGCAAAACGGGCCCGCGATCTAAAAACTCTCGGCGTTTCGAGATAATACAATGCATGTAAAACAATGCGTGTA